TGCAGGACTCAGGTGCATTAAAAAGCGCAATTAAGTAGACTTATGTACTGTTTTTAGCCTTGCAAGGAGCACCTGCTTTGTTCTGTTAATTCTTGTCAAAGGTAATTTTGTTACCCTTAATACAGTGGCACCAGTAGCTGTAGGTTATTAACCCACCTAGGTGGGCAGCTGTGAAGTCAGGATCTTCTGCAAGCAACACCCACAGAAGGGTGAGCGCCTCCTCCCAAGCATGGCGGTGAAGCAATTCCGGTGCGACTCGAAGGCTTCACTCAGTCAAGCGTCCTGAGCAAGGCTCCACGTGGACACACACATGTGGAGACCATGGCAGGTGCAGTAGCCATGTCATTCACCCTGCACACAGGGCAGTGTCCCCACCCCACCCTGCGTCACAGTAACTGGTCTTTTATTTCCACTGGGATAAAATTCCTTCTTTTCAAAACTGTCTTCACCCAAATTTAGCTTCACAGTTTTGGGGAATCCAGACGTAGTCCCTGTCAGAGAGGAACCTGACCCTGTGGCTGCCTCTGGAGAACTTCTGTTGGAGTGGGGCCACCGGGGTCCCTGCATGCTGTCACCTGTGGGATCTCCTTGGTGCTCTGGCTCTTTGATGGTTCAGAGTTCTATACCTAGAAATGAGTGTGGTCTTCATAGTACAAAAAGTTGGTTCCTTTTCATTCAGGAAATGTAAGTTCTTGCTATGTAATATGACTTTTCAACATTTAAAATGGAAGCAAGAAGTGACCACGAGGAAGCCAGCCCTCGTGGCCTTATCTCACTGTCAGGAACGCTAGCTCAGCACTGCAGATGCTGTAATATCTTGCTAACAGTTTCCAGGTAGACACCTCTGCGTGCCCTTAGGGCAGCCCCAGATCTTCCTGGTCACATATTTCCTTAGGACTTTAGCGAAAACACATGTGTGTGTGCCTGTAGGCTGCAGTTTCTGTGTCCCCTCCAATATGCACCTGTTTCAAGATTAACATTAACACATCAAAATATCTTTAATCTTTTGTGCCTCTTTTGCCAACGAAGTTTGGCTTCTCCACTGCTCATTCTGCTGTTTGGATGTTCACGGCCTGATTGCTGAAGCTCCTTTTATGCTGCTGCCCTTGAAGTCCTCATTACCAGAGCACGGTGCAGTTAAACGCGGCTCTCACATTCAGTACGATGGCACTGCTCCCACTCAAGTGCATTCTGTCTTGATTACGTATTTGTGCTTCACTCCATAGAATGCTAATTTTTAAGTTTCCTTGTTGGCTCGCAAATGACTCTCAAGGGCTGAATTCAGGAATGGTGCCCAGGTCCCAGGTGTTGCTGGTAGCTAGGGCATATCACCGCCAATGTCTTGTCCACACCTGCGGCCACTCAAGGGCGTGTGGCCCTGTCGGCTGGGAGCATTTGGTTCCAGTTCATCTGATTAACTTTTCCCACTTGAGTCCGTTGCCCCATACTCTCCTCCTACACACTGGCTAAACCCACCACTGTGAAGACCTGGGGACATCCTTATGGTCGCTTTGGCTTCCTGTTGTATAAAGAGCAGCCAGGTGGACAAGATCTGTTGTCGCCTTTGCCTGCCTGGCACACTGGGGCCCAGGCTGCCTTGGTCAGGCGGCTCATGCTCGCGTGGCAGCTGAGACATAGCCAGAGTGGCAGGGGACTGATTAGCTGTCCTCTAGATTTTAGGCATTATAGAGGTCTGGATTTTAACTCTTGGCTCTTCTGTGGAGCAGAGCAAGCTAGAAGGTAAACTGACATGTGCGATTTCAGGCCACCTTCCCTTTCTTTGCCAACCTCATTTCACTTCTGCCTCACCCACCCCCAGGTTTGGTGGCCCTGGCACCCTCCTAGGCCTTCTGATGCCAGAGCTCTGAGAAAGTTCTTCAGCTTCCGCAGGAGATGAGCTCATCTCTGTGGTGCCCTGGAGACCACAGCATTTTTGCCTCATGAGGTTTCTATGGAACTTTTCTAACATTTATCACATGCACGTCTTACTCACTGAAGTGGTGAAGCTAATATTTCCTTGGGGGCACAGCCCTCACATGGCTGCGTGTACATGAAGGGGAAGGCTCTTTGTGGAGACCTGTGTCCCCACCAATCATGCTCCGAGCGACTTTTGCCTCTGAGAAGTGAAAGGCAAGCTCAGAAGTTGGATTGCAAAGCACAGCTGCATCCTCCTGTTTCCCAGTTGTACCATGTACCACAGGCAGATGTCAGGACAGTGGTTTCAGATGTTTAGGTTTCCAGTATCTCGTTCTCAAGATGGAAATGCAAGGGCATCCGCATCACAGGCATTCCACAGCTCAGAGCCACCTGGTGTGCGGTGTGCCCTCACGGGGCCGGCATGCCATGAGCGAATGCCACGCAGGAAGGGCTCCCTTCCTCTGGACGGCATCTCATCCCCGCTGCACAGCCCACGCATGCGTCATCCTCCATGCACATTGCAGGCTGAAAGCCAGCCCGCTCAGCGGGGCCAGACTCGGACACAGTGCAAACGCTTCCTGCAGGCCCGGAAAGGCACCACCCCACCCCCAGCACCAGGGAAGGAAATGGGAGCAGCTCCTGCTAATTACAGAGTACATGGTGCAAGTCCATTTCTACAGATCCTGATTGCAGTGACATAGGAGAAGCAAAAAGGGTGACTTTGGTCATCCTAGGACACAGAGAGCCTCATAGCGCAGCCTACACTATGTTCTGTTTAGTAAGATGCCCCTTCCAGGAGGTTTGAGTTGTCTGTAAATTGTACATTGACACATTTTCTGAAAGCTGTGGAGGGAATGGTGGTGACAGGAGAGGCAAACTTTTTGGTGGACAGACACTGTCATGGACACACATGTGTGCAGAGAAATTCTCACACTGCCAAAGTTAGAGCAGGAGAAAGCAGCAGTACCCTGTACACCCAGAAATCCTGGCCTCGTCAGTGTGTTGCGCACACCCAGGACTGTAGCATCGCTCTTCACGCACACAATTTCAAGCGAACTGTAGAGTGGCTCCAATGGTTTCCTTTTAGCTGTGGAGACACACAGATCGGTTTACAGATGATTTCTGAGTCAGAAAGTCACCTAAGCAAACCACTTCTCTCACTCGCCTGTGTCTGTGGCTCTGAGCAAGGTGGACCTGTTGCAGCCTTCAGCCTCGGGAGAACAATGGGGAAATAGGGGTGGCAGACTCAGGCCCAGTCCCCCAGGATTGGAGCAGGGGCTCAGGCCCCCAGCAGAAGCCTCCAGCAGCTCTGAGGGTATCGCCCTGGCAGGCATCACAGGCAGGCAGTGAAGGAGGCCATGCTGATGGGATGCAGCACCTAGCGTGGGGTGACCTGAGACACGGAGTGCTGTTACAGCAGATGCTGGAGGAAGCTGCACTGGGAGTGGGCTCTGGAAATAGTCCCGACTGTTGCCAGTTTTTTAATAATGTCCCTTGACAGGTGGGTTCACATTTGGGACAAACCTTCCAGACGGAGGGACCGGGGAGTCTGATGCTTCTTGTTACCTCTGTCTGCTTATGCCGCCCAGCCCTCCGTGCCTGTCTCCATCCTAGCTCTCTCTCCAGCATTCTCTACCATGTCCCCCTCCTGAGTCCCGCTGTGCCTTGGTTATGCCTGGAAGCACACATTGGCCGGCGTGACGGGCCGCTGCTTCCTTCGTGTGTCATGGTGGCATGTGATGTCTTCCTGAGTAGGCAGGTGCAGCCACACAGGCCCTGGAATTGGGGTGGGAGCGGAAGGAACTCAGAACTCCACACGCACCTCCGACTCTCTGGACCCCCGCACGTGAAGGCAACTGTTCCCAGCAGCTTCCCAAGCCCTGGAAGCCCCTTGTTGCTCGGTCTGCCCTTGTGAGGAGCTGACGGCGCTCCGGAGGGTGCTGTGTTTGCATCGCCCTCGCCACATGTGTCACCGTGACCCCAACATGTGTCACCAACACCCGCCATGTGTCGCCCTCACTTTAGAACATGTCACGCCACCCCACAAGTGCCCCGTGGTCCAGGCAAACAGAGCACATCCATGTCTCCGGCTTCACAGAGGTCAGGTCTTTTTCTTAGGATGAATCATCACAGCAAGAGAGATGCCATTCTCCCAGAGAAGCCAGTGTGGAAAACCCACACTGCCTAGACAGACGGAGGTGCATTGTGCCGCCTTGCTGCAGCGTTGAGGCCTGCAGCCGGGGAAGGGTCCCACACTCTCTCTCGCACAGAGCCCTTCACTTTCTTCTGAAGGCAGAGAATTCTACCATCCATCACCAGCTCAAGTGGGGGCGCTGTGCAGGTCCAGCAGATGCCATTGAGGAGCTTCAGGCTTTCGGCCCCATACAGAGTCCTGCCTGTGCCCTGACAGCTGGGCTACAGCCAGGAGGCCAGGCACTTGCTTCAGACCAGAGGGGAAGCGGGAGGTGGCAGGGACAGCAGGTGACAGCAGGGACAGCAGCCTCAGTCCAGGAAGAGCTTGTGCATCTCTTCCTGGTGAACCCACACCTGTGCTGGTGAGGCCAAACTCACAGAGAGTAGATAACTTTCTGATACTGGGTGTTTTGCTGTTGGAAAAATGGCAGCTAGTCATTACAAAGATTTTTAGAAAATGCACATAAGCCAGAGAAAACTGGCAACACTGTCACCAAACAGTAATGGGATGAATGTCTTGTGGAACTGCCTTCTTCCCCATGCACCTACCACCCTTCATCTCTGTGGTTTAGGGTCCTGCCCACTTCTTTTTATTGTTTTAAAAGTGAGCATTTCTGATAATTCTGTGAGCTGCATAGTCAGAGACACAGGCCTTCTCTCCTGTCCAGGCTGTGCAATGCGTGCTTGTGTCTCTGCTGCTGGAGTGTGAGGTGTTCTGTAACTTTTCTCTGCTGCAGATGCACCTGTGTCAATGCCTCTAGGAACCTGCTGCTCCTGTCCTGCAGCGTTTTCTCGGGCTGAATGGACTTGCTGGCTGGGCCCTGGGTAGAGCGAGCAGCTATAGACCAGAGGCACAGTGAGGCCACACTGACCGGACTCTTCTTTTGCAGCTGTCCCCTACACCAACTACAAGAAGACACCACCCCCGGTGCCTCCTCGGACCACCTCGAAGCCCCTCATCTCAGTGACAGCCCAGAGCAGCACGGAGTCCACCCAGGATGCCTACCAGGACAGCCGCGCTCAGAGGATGTCCCCATGGCCACAGGATGGCCGTGGCCTCTACAACTCCACGGACAGTCTGGACAGCAACAAGGCCATGAACCTCGCCCTGGAGACAGCAGCGGCCCAGCACCATGCAGACAGCCAGGGCGGCTCCACGAGGCCCGGCGACAAGGCCATCCTGACGTCCAAGGCCGAGGAGCTGCTCAAGAGCCGTTGTTCCTCCATCGGGGTGCAGGTAGCTTCCTGTGCTGTGCCTGGTGTCACACATAGTGTATAGCGTAGCTCAGGGACAGGACGTACCCTGAATCACGGGACCCCACAGGCAGCTGCAGCCGGAGCCAGCCCTGTACCCAGCCCGCAGGAGCCTCCCTGGGCATTTACCAGTGTCTGTAGCCACTAAGCAGCATGATGTGTCAGAGGGCAACTTCCTGTGGAAGTTCCCTGGAGAGCACCAGGAAGGAGCTGTCCTGCGTCAGAGCCGAGGGCGCCCGTGCGGGCAGGCAGCAGCACCTGGGTGGTGGCTTCATAGCTCTGGGGGTGACTGCATCCAGCTGGGGCCCAGTGCACCCTCCTGGGGGGACAGCGCAGGTGCACAGGCTCTGTCTGCTGAAAGGGCGTGGGGCGTACACCATCCCAATCGGCAGAAGCATCTGGGTGCATCCCTGTGATGTCCCCTCAGCCTGCAGTGGACATGGCTTAGTCCTCTGTTCAGTGCAAGTCCTGCAGCCCTTAAACACCAGGTGTCTGGTAGCCCCACGCTGCGCCCCCGGGAGAGAAGTGTGTGGAGCATGGTGAGAGCCACATGGCTCTGGCACCAGGCCAGTCAGGTGGGGACGAGAAGCCAGCAACAGGCGAGCCAGGTCCCCACACTGTGGCTTCATTGTTTTGTTTAGGATTCTGAATTCCCCGACCTTCAGCCATACCCAAGGTCAGATGTAAGTACTGAACGCCTCCAAGCCACGTCCGCATGACTCATTCTTGGGATCTTCATAAACTGCTCTTGTCACTCTGTGTCCTGGCTCTATGTGCCAGGTACCATGCTGGGCCCCCACTGTACCCACCCTGGTGTCCCGAGGATGTGAGTGCCCCCGCCTAAGGAGGACAAGAGCTCAGCAGTGCCCACCCCGCAGCTCAGGCCTGGCCGGAAAGCAGGCTGCAGTCCCTGTGTGCAGCAAAGGCCTGAGGTCCACTGATCTCACACCCTGCCTGCTCTGCTGCCCAAAGGGCCCTCCATGACCCAGGCTGCACCCTGGGAGAGTGTTCCCTCCCAAGTATGCAGTCATTGGTCGTACCTGGGTAATGGGCCTGACTGCAGGTGGTCCTGTACTAGGGCTGCTCTGGGCGGCACTGTCCTGTCATCAGCCCAGCCTTCCCCGCCGGCCCAGCCTCTGCCTCTTGGCACCCACACACCTAGCACAGTGCCTGGCACATAGCAAGCGCTCAGTCAGTGTTGGATTTGTGAGTGGACGGTCATTGTGGGAGGGGCAGGAAGGGCGGGGGGACCATGTTCAGTGGAAAGGACACGACATGCAAGTTTGTGAGCTCACCATGCCCAGCAGAGAGCAGTTGGGAAGTTAAAAGGAAAACAGCCAAAAGTGGAAGAGTGGTGCAACTTGGAGCAACCCAAGAGGAAAGAACAGAGAAACGGTGCAGACCCTAAGGCAGGCAGGAGGGTGACACTGACACAGGGCAAAGGGACAGAGGCATAGAGTGGGGCTCAGCAGACAGATGGCTCCCAGCCCCATCACCAGGTCCCTCTCACGGATGTGTGCCTGTAAGGACCAGGGCCCAAGTGTTGATGTGCTGATCTGGGTGGGGAAACTGAGGACCGGGGAGGGTAGGTGACTTGCCTGAGGGTGCACAGCCCAGGGTGCCAAGCCCTGGTGGAAGCCGGGGTGGCACCTTCTGGCCCTGACTCTGCCCTGCTTTGTGGAGAGGAGAGGAAGGCTGCCCTGGACCTGAGGCCCTGCTCTGGTCAGTCCAGTGCCGCTTCTAGCTCCAGCAGCATGCGCTGGGGAGGCGTAGGCACAGTTCACTCAGCTGCAGATGGTGTGCCTCCCACACACGGTCCTTGCTGCCATGCACACCCTGTGTGACTGCAAGCCCTTGGGAACACCCAGCTGGCAGAGCTCCCGCAGGCCCCAGGGTGTCACACACCACTTCCCCAGGACTGTAGCTCAGGCCTGAGCTGAGCCTGCTGGGCTGCATCCATCATGGAGCCCAAGAGGCTGACCTCAGCCCATACCTCCTGTGCCCAACCTCCCTCTGCCCAGCTTACCTGGGGCACTCACTGGAGGTTCCCATCCCCGAAAGCTGGGCCAGAATCCACCCAGACTCAGAACCTGCAGGCCAAAACACACTCCCAGGGAGCAGCTGGGCATGGAGCCCGGCAGGATGAGGAAAGCGTTGGTTCACAGTACCCTGGCCAAGAGTCCACAGGCCGGCCCTCCTTCCGCTTGTCCCTGATAGTCCGCGGGGTCTCTTCTGGGTGCGTGTGTAAAGCTGGCCAGGTGCACCACACAGAAACCCTGCCCACCTCTGCAGTGGGACAGCCACCACACATCTGTCCAGGCCCACGGGACGAAGGGACAGCTGCAGACACCCTAGGATGCTCCCATAGAGCATCCTGCATGGTGGAGCACAATGCCTCCCAGCCGTCATTGCTGCCCCTAGGCAGAGGCCGTGAGTCCCGCTGACAGTGGCTGACAGTGGGTCCCCAAGGGAAACAACAACGTTGGCATCAAAGGCATATGGCCCCTGAAGGAAAGACTTCAGACTCCACAAACCACTTTCTCCGGCCAACATCCCAGACTCGATCTGAGGAGCCAGGCACAGTGCACATCCCTACCTCAGACACGCAGCCAGCCTGGTCTGCGTGCAAGGTGGGAGCAGAGTATAGGAGGCTGCCTCACTGCAGGTCGTGCCTATCAGTACAGCCCTGAGTGTACACGCACACGCAAACGCAAACACACATGCAGAGGACCAGGTGCCACGCCAGCTGCGCCAAACTCCCGTTCTCACACAGAGCACAGGTGCCGGTGTCCTCTTCTCCATGGTTCCGGCTCAGCTAATCCCCAACTTCGCTCAGAGCTGGGCTTAGTGGCCCTCGAGGTCCCTGTGGGGCACCTAGCAGTCACCTGTGATTGCTTGTGTCTGTGTCTTTCCTCCCTGTTCTCCAGGGAGCCCCTCAGATACAACACTGGCTTCCAAACCAGTTTACCAGCAGTGAGCTTGCTGATTCCTCTCCAGAACTGTCTCCACTCAGAGAATCTGGAAGTGAATATGCACATACAGCTCCCAGAACATTCCCATTTCCTCACACGTCCAGTCCCCTTCCACCATGCAGAATGCACTCGCCTTACCCTGCACCTGGCTTTCCCAGAGCTCCTCTCCACCCAGCACTCCTGCAGTTGATGCCTGTGCCGTCCTCTGGCCACCACTGCTTTGCTCTGCCTCTGGCCTTGCTGAAAGCTCAGAAGCCCCATTTGTCTTTGGAGAGTTTTATGTGACAGCTGCTGGAAAACTGATAAAAGTAGCTGGTATATTTTTATTTAATACTCATTTATTATCTGATGTCCTGAAAGTTTATATGAAAGGACCAGGAATTAGTATTTGCTGCACACAGACTGCCCTGACTGGGCTTGACCCGATGGCCTTATATCAGTCATGTGGGGGCTCAGTTTTTCCTCACTTCCGGACAAGGATGAGAAGATTCTGCTCGCCTGACAGTTGCAGGCCAGCTTGTAGGAAACGTGACTGGCCCCAGCAGCTGTATTTTTCTCATTCACTATAAAAATAACAAAATTATATTAGAGAAAATTTGAAGACTAACAAAAGGAAGAAAACAATGTCATGTTTTGCTCTTTTCTTCGGGCACTGATGTTGGACAAGTGTCTGTGACTGTTGTGCTTCTGTGTGTCACATGCATCTTGTGACGCCGCTGTTCACAGCACCACTGAGCTGTGCTGTTTACTCACACTCATCAAAGTGTGTTTTGCTCTGAATTTGCTCGCTGTGGCATAAATGACTTTGAGGATTGGTGAGAAAATCCTACTGCACTGGATGTCACCTTCTCCTGCCTTCCTAGCCCATGTCCCCATAATTCCTCCTTCAAACACTGTGCACTGAAGTCCTCACGTGTGCCCAGATGTAGAACCATTTCTCAGGCAGCAGTTCTGGATCCACAAATCCTCTTGACATTGTTTATAAGCATATGCTTGCTTTCATTACAAAATTCTCTAAAGTAAACATGAATTGATTTCACCCATGTCATAAATCTATCAAAACTGGTAATAGCCCAAATTGTAAGAGTGTTCACCTGTGACCCGGCAGCCACATATCATGAGTATGCTCAGAAGTACACACATACATGCAAGTGCAGACACACACTGACAGCAGCATCATTATAGTGGCAAACCTGGAAGGAACCCAGATGTCCCTCCACTGAAGACTGATTTGATACATCAGGTTGTGGTCATGAAACTATTGGGTGGTATGCAGTTAGAACGCAAGACACTGCCTGCCTCCTGGAATGAGCTCCAGACACATTGATTTTCACTATGGTCACGTGTCTTACAAAGCACTAGTTCCCACGCTGCATGGTGAGGAGGAAAGGGAAGTCCTCATGGGCAGTTGAGGCTGTTCCTTGCAGAATGTTCCTCTTGTGGTCAATGTGTGACTCCTTCTAACTGTCAGGCCCAGCTTCTCTGCTGACCTGAGGTCTCTAGCAGAAAGAGAGGCAGCCCCAATCTTCTCTAGGCATGACAGGCCATATGGCCAGGGAGGAAGGCAAGGGCAGGGCTCCGGGTCAGAGAGACCCAGGCAGAAACCCTGGCACGGCCCTTGTGAGCTGAACGCCCTGGGCAAGTCACTCACCTTTGACTCCAGCAAGTGGCAGGTGGGGAGGATGCAGAGGGCACGTGGAACAAACTCCACACTATCCTCGTCCTTCTCCTGTCCTGGGTGGGTCAGGCCTGGCACACAGGCAGCTGTAGGGCACAGGCTGGAACTTCATTTGCTTCATGCTTTGCACCTTCTCCTCCAGGAACTGGTCCCAGTTTAAGAAAAAATGTTTAGGGCTGGGGATTTAGCTCCGTGGTTTGGTGGCCTGCCTTGCAAGCGCAAAGAGCCGAGTTCAATCCCCGGTACCAAAAAAAGAAAAAAGAAAAATGTTTAATCTTAGCTATGGCATTTCAGCTTGGGGTCTGAAGTCCTTTCAGTACAAAAGGTAATATTTTGTGGCAGAAGCCAGGGAAGACGCTTCATGGCTCAGTTAACCTTGGTTTCACAGACTCTTCACACTGGGAACTTTGGGCTGGTTTTGTTTTGTTTACAAGTTTTCTGGGCTAGAATTTACTCATGTGGTGACTTTACACAGCTGATGGACTTGAGAGTGCATTTTGGCCATGAGGGCCCAGCGAGAATTGTCTGGGGTGCCCGGCAGGAGCCTGCTGTGTAGGAACAGGAGAGCCTGCTTCTGGGTTGCTGACGGACGCTTCACTTCCTTCCTTCCTTCCTGTGTCTCTCTGTATGTGGGTGTGGGTGTCAGTATGACTCTCCTAAATTGCTTATTTGTTGTTGTTAGCTGTTTGGTTCATGCTGTACTTCCTCTCTTCACTGTAGGCTGTGATAAGAGCTTTTGAGTCCTATAATAATGCAGCCCAACAAAGCCTATTTTTTGCCTGAGCTGAACTAAGCAGTTTTGTTTGCTTACATTCAAAAGGCTGAAGTGCAGCCTTGAGTTCAAGTAGTTATGTAAAATTTGATGAAACACAATAGTGACATAATTTACACCAATAGGAACTGCATCTTCCTCTCTCCATGATGTTAGAGGGTCAAATGCATTTTGGCATTAATTGTGTAATTAATTACAGCAAATGAACAGCAACAAAAAAATCACAGTCTCTGGCCCCAGTCCCACGTCTCCATTCTAAAGTGAGCTGTTCTGTGTTGAATCAGGTGGAAACAGCTACAGACTCAGACACGGAGAGCCGGGGCCTGCGAGAGTACCACTCCGTCGGGGTACAAGTGGAAGACGAGAAGCGGTAACTAAGGCAGCCCTTCCCTGGCTGGGTGCACCACCCTCAGCTTCCGGGAGGCGTGGCCATCTGTGTCCATGCCCTTAGGCGGCGCCACACATTCAGCTTCTTCGGTTAGACTCCCGAGCGTGGGCTGACGTGTGCCTGCGTCTCATTTCAGCGAGAGAAATCCCACGGCTCTTTCTAGAGTAATCCACCGCTATGAATGCAGCCTGACTGCACCCAGAGTCCAGTCCTTTACTCAGAGGAGGAGGAGGCCGAGGGCAGAGCACAGGCCGGTTCTCACCAGGTGGTGTTGAGAGCCACGGGGGTGGGGGATGAAGCCAGCTCAGGACTCAGCCACTCCACAAGGCCATCTCGCTTCAAAAGCACCGCCTCACCTCACCATGCAGCACAGATTTTCTGTTGCCCCCAGGGTTATTTTGGTAACAAGGGCAGAGTGATTATTCTAACTCGTGTTTGAACAAGTGTAGAATGTCAAGAGTTTAAGCAAGGCATCCCGAGCATCTGTTCGCAGCTGTGGCTCGAAGCTGGGTGACATCCCTCTGAGCAGGGTGATCAGACTCAGATCCTAGGGACATTCAGGGTCCTGCACAGCTGGACGCTCTGCACAGCACTCAATACCCGGGCAGCAGCAGAGGAAGCCACTGGCCACTCTGGACTCAGTAGTGCAGACTAGGGCACAGATGCAGTGACTGGGGTTGCAGACCCATGTGCACACACTAGTCACCACACACCCTGCACACACATACAGACACAGGTACACCACCATCCACACACACACATGCCATCCTTGGGGCACACCAGCTTCTCATCTACCACAGGCAGTCTCTGACAGTGAGATCCTGGGCCCATGGTTCCCGTAGCAGCCACACTGACGGGTGACACTTGAATACGTACAAAGGAAGTGCCCAGGTGTGAATGTAGATCTGTGTATGTTCATGGGAGCTGATGGGGACAGTGTTACCTTGGAGGAGAGGACACTCGGGCCAGGCAGTGGGACCTGGAGGTCACAGGAACTCTGTAGGACGCAGAGTCACCCACACAGCAGAAGCCACACTGGGCACGTTGTACACCAAAGCACAGGGCAGTGGCGTGGATGCTGCAGATGTTTCTGGAAGGAGGGCGGCCACCAAACCCAGGCTCTTGCTGAGTGGTCCGCCACACTGCCATCCTGAGTGGGTGCTCTTAGAACTCAGAGCATGGGAGCTGTGACATCAGCAGAGAGAGTGGGCTCGCTGTGCCCTGTGCTGTGCCTGAGGGAAAGGCCACATCTGTGTGCTTGCTCCCCACAGGCATGGGCGTTTCAAGCGCTCCAACAGCGTCACGGCCGCTGTGCAGGCTGACCTGGAGCTGGAGGGCTTCCCAGGCCACATCACCATGGAGGACAAGGGGCTCCAGTTCGGCTCCTCCTTCCAGCGGCACTCGGAGCCCAGCACGCCAACCCAGTATGGGGCAGTGAGGACTGTGCGGACGCAGGGGCTCTTCAGTTACCGAGAGGACTATCGGACCCAGGTGGACACCTCCAGCCTGCCTGCCCCTGAGCCCTGGCTGGAGTCTGCCCTGGAGCCTGTGGAGACTGGGAGGATGTCCCCGTGCCGCAGGGATGGCTCGTGGTTTCTGAAGCTGCTCCACACGGAGACGAAGCGGATGGAGGGCTGGTGCAAGGAGATGGAGAGGGAAGCGGAGGAGAACGACCTCTCTGAAGAAAGTAAGCGGGCAGGTTCCTTGTGGTGGCCCGGGCACTGGTCCTTCCTCAGCAAGGCAGACAGACACATGACAGTATTGGGGGGGGGTCTCTCCAGTGTCGGAATGAATTCAAATAAACGGGGTTGCAGCTGCCTCCCACCCAGACCCATGAGCAGCACAGACAAAGGGGAGGGAAGCAGCTGGTAAACTGGCATGGGGGAGCTCTGCTTTGGCTCTTGTTAGCTTTATTACGCAGGTTGAATGTGAGATCAGTTATGCTAACTCTGCTCTTCTCGGTAGCATAGTTCATCTTACTTTCTGCTAACCATTTCCCTGAATTCTGACAGTAACTTAATTTGAAGCATTTGCCCCATGTTTATAAAAACCTGCCTTGGCACTGTGCCACAGGAAAGTCTTAGCTAAGCAAAGTCAAGGTTGCCCTAGCACAGCCCAGCCCCTCACCGTGGGCTCAGTGGGACTTTGTGTGTCTCATCAAAGCAGAGAACCCTGTGCAGACCTGGCTCACCCTCTGTGGCTCCTTTCTACTCATCCAGAGGTACTGCAGCTGGTCCCCCAGCTGCTCCAGCTACGTGGTGAAACCCTCCACCAGGACATGGGCTCGGTAGAAAGTGGTGACTGAAGGCTGGGGAGGAAAGGGGGAGGGGCAGGAGAGAAGACCGATGGATTTCCACAGATCAGATTTGTCAGGCCTCAGCCCTTGCAAATGCCTGTCATAGTCTATCCTGATATCTTGTGAACCTGCACCATTCAGGTTACACTCAAAATGTTTCCATTTTCTTTGAATTGCCAACATCTTGACATTAGTCACTGCTGTTACTGTGCCAACTGGGATGCTGTCTCATGAAGCTGAGGACTGAAATCTCCAACAGAGAGAAGGCTAAAAGGGGTGTCTGCTGGGAGCATAAGAAGACAGCTCCTGGCAGCTGGGAGGGTCCTGAAGTGGGGTGCCAGAGTGGACTCTGTCCACGTTTATCCATGAGCAAGCAAAAGGTAGGGACTTGCTCAGTGCCCAGTGGTCACCTATAGCAGTAGCCCCATGGGTTTAGAAGAGCCACTTGGGCCCAGCTTTCCAATGCTGAGTTCGAGGGAAGACCAGTTATGTGGTGTCTTTGAATTCCTGGAAGCCCAGCCACAGCCTACAGGGAGGTGCTGCTTGCTTGGTGCCTTCCTTTCTGCCTGGGGAGTCCTTTTGCTGAGGGTAGAGCCCTAACCACCTGTCCCTGACATCTGTCACTCTCCTGTTGGCCTTCTCTTAGCTTAGATGTCAGGCATGAGTTTAGACTGAGTGAAGGCGTGCACAGCTGTTGTCCTTGGAAGGCAGCTCTCCAGACTCCAGTGTAGCCCCTGTCCCTCGCTGGCTGCCTATCTATGAGCTGAATAGTGAACTGCCTGCTACAGCTGCTGTGTTTATAAACTGAGGAAATACTAGCCTCCTCATCATTTTCCATATAGTACTTGTCATGTGGCTTAATTGAATCGTTTCTCCTCAAGGTTTATAGTTTTTTAAGAGGAGAAGGAGTGGGCCTGGGGTTTAGCTCAGTGGTGCTGCCGCCCATCTCGCAAGGACAAGGTCCTGAGTTTAATCCCCAGTAGCAAAAAATTATAATAAAAAATAAATAAAAAGAGAAGAATGTAGAAAAAAGGAGAAAGTGTAGAAGAAGGGGCAGTATTTGCTGAACACATACTGTGTCCCAGATTTCTTCTGAGTGCTTTACCCAAACCCTCCCATGCTCCCCAATTGTGCAACAGTCAGACATAGATTCTGAGGGAAACAGAGGCCTCAGAATCCAGTGTCTCTTCCCAAAGCGCGAGGTGCAGCAATGAAGCCAGGGGCCATAGTACCCTGGGACAGAAGACGTTTGAAGTCACTGAGTCCCAGTGCTCCCACAGCGGCCTTGCTCTCTGTGTGGCCTCCTCCCCTCTGTGCTCTGATGCTTGTTTCCTCTGTTTTAGAAAACATGTCCACCCCGTCCCTAACCATTGCTTCCTTCTGACCCACTGCAGCTGTGAAAGAAAAGCCCTGGGCTCCTAGAGCATATCTGTGGGTCACCTTGCTGTATCCCTGGGAAACACAGGTGACAGTTGGAGACAATTCCTTCTCACACTAGAATGGAAGGCCTAGCAGTTAGAAGGCTTCAGTGCTGGAATGGTGTCATAATCACCATTTTCTCCCTGGGGCATCTGAGAAAATACAGGAAAGGCTGTGTGCTGCATGCATAGCTTGACTCCCTCAGCTAGAGGACCCAGGTTAGCAGTGAGGTCCCGTCCCTGCAGGTACAAACATGGTGTCTCGCTGAGCATCCGGAAAGTGCAGTTCACAGCAGTGCACAGTGCTTGGAGAACATCTGTGGCTCCCAGTTCTGTTTCCATAATGTGCTTTGTTGGCTGGTTTTAAATATTCAGTCATCTCCTGGACCCTCTCATAATTGTGTACACTCAGCAAGAACCTATTGGACCCTTGCTGTGGGCAGTGAATTGATAGGCAAAGTAATTCCAAAGAAGTAAGCATAGAACCCAAGAATGAGAGAAATAAAACCAGGAGAAACAATGGAAAACATTGATGAAATGAGAAAAGTGCCAAAAAATGCCTTATGAAGGCAAAATCTAGCTGGGTATGGTGGCTCCCAGAACTCTAGAAGGCTAACACAGGAGGATTACAAGTCTGAGCCCACCCTGGTCAACTTAACAAGATCCTGTCTCAAAATAAAAAGTGACAAGGACCAGAGGTGTAGCTCACGGTGTAGGCTCTGGGTTTCATCCCCGTACCCTCCCCACAGAGAGAAGGTCAGAGTCCCAGAGATGCTTCCATCTGGGAGAAGCCCAGAGGCTTCGTGGATGGGCAGCTTTGCTCTGGGCCTGGAAGGATGGCTGCCTTTGGTCAAGCAGGATGGGGGGTGAAGGACGAGGTGCAGGGCAGGGAGCAGGAGCCGTCGTCTCTTGAGACGCTGGCTCCCCTTCTCTCAGGCCCGTGTGGCTGCCTTGCTGCACACTGTGGCCCAGTGTTTCCCAAAGGACAGAGCTGCCTTCCACCTTCTGGAAGGTTCCAGGCTCCTAGAAGGCAGGGAAGAGGTTGATGCCTTCACCACACTGTGGCCTGGCAGGGTCAGAAGGGGAGCAGGAAGAGCAGCTCCTGGGCCCCCACAGACGGAGCTGGATGACCCCACTCACAGCCTGCTCCACAGCCTCGGTGCAAGCGCACCCTGTGAGCCTCGAGCATAGAGGACAGACAGACACACTTGATGTCACGAGGTTTCTGGATCTCCCAAGTCAGGGAGGAGATGCCCATTCTCCCCCAGCTGCAGGAAACCAGCACAGTGTCCCCCAGGTCCAGGTGCTTCTCTCGCAGTGCTTAAAGGTCAGGGGCCTCCACTTCAGGCTCTGACTTCAGCACCAGATGGAGTCATTAGTCCCTGCACTTTTTAAATAAAGATGAAATTAAATGACTCGTTAGGGCAAACTCTAAGCTCTGAATATTGAAATATCCATTGCATGAATTTTTGCCCAAATGATGACTTCATAATCACAGTGCAGTGGACTGATGGCATCAGGATTCTTTCAGTCCTCTGGTTAACAGGAACTGTCACAAGCCCAACCCCGCCAGCACACACACACACACACACACACACACACACACACACACACACACGTGCTTGGTGAGGGTTATGGTTCTCAAATTAACTGTGAAAGCCGAAGGAGAGATGGCATAGAGTGGAACCATGCAGCAACCAAGCCATCTGGAACTGTGGAGAGCAGACCCTGGCCTGGTGCGGGGGTCTTAGAGGACCCCAGCAGGGGGTGCCTGCGGACAGGCCTTTGAAGGGTTGAGGAGCTCCTGGCAGGCTCTGCTGCTCCCAGCCAGCCCCCAAGACTGCAGCTCTCCTGACCAGACACTGAGGAGCCTCGTGCTCACCCACGCCCTCCTTTTCAGACCACAGGAGTGGAGAGCACAGTGTCTCGAGTCGCACAAATCTCAGGCCGCCTGCACAAGAATACATAATCATCTGGACAGGGTGCTAGGGCAGTGGGCATCCCCCTGGGCAGAGTGGAGACAAAGGCCCAGGATGGCCTTGGGAAGAAACAGAACCCACCTTCAACAAAGAATGAGGAGGAGGTGGCCAAAGACAAACTGTACCTCAGCTCCAGCCGTCTGAAGTCCCCATTCCTGGGGAGAAAGCAGAAGGGCCTTGACCTTCGCTGTGTGCACATTGGCAGCTGCCAGCCGCTTCTGTTAGGAGCCAGGCCACAGTGGTATCCCTGCGTAGCTGGGAACGCACCCATATTGAGGTGCCAGAGACTCCTCAGCAGCTGGGTGGCCACTGGGACGTGTCGGCCGAGGAGCCAGCAGGGCGGGGCCACACCCGCACTGAACAACCGTTTCAGACTGCAAACACCACGTCTGCTTCGCATGTAAGAACCGTGGGAACGTTTTCCCGGTACTTTGAAGCAAATTTGCATGGGATCGGAAATTACAGAAGATGCATGAAAAATAAAAGAGCCAAGTAGGTTAATCAAATTTCTTTGTACATCAAAGGCAAGAGTCACATCAGATTCTTTGTAAATTTGCATTCTGATGAGCATTAGTCCTTATCTCTGCTTTTGAGAGGAAAAATGTCTAAACTATGACAAAATTAGGGAAGTATAGTAGAAAAAAATAAATTGAATTTTCACTTCAGATTCCCTGCAATTATAGGAAGCTGTTTACAGTATAGGTATCAGATGCAATCATTCCTATTGGATGAGCAGCAAAGTCCTCCTGCCATTAGCAGTCACATCGTTGGCTACTGTGACATTTGTATCTCTTCCAGTGATATTCAGTTCATGCCTTTATAACTCCACTGCCTTAAATCATATGGAGATTGGGCCATCTATGCAGAAGATTCCAAATGGGCATACTTTCTATTACTATTTCAGCAGAATCCCATTTTAAGAGGAATATGAAAATCACAAAGCTTAAAATTTTACAAAAAACATTGAATTTTTAATTATAGTTTGAAGAGATGGACTCAGTAAAGCCAGTGCATTTATTCACCACACCTGTAGGTCTACAGTGACAACTTGATCAAATCAGGCCCCATCTCAGGATTTTCAATGACTTGCAAGACAGAATGCAGGAGAAACAGACTCTGTCTTCTGAAAGGAAAGCTGTCCCTCCCCAGCACCGGTCTGGCCAGGACCTCAAAGCCAGTTCCTTCTGGGGTTGGTGTCTGTGAAGGGGAACGCGCTTCTCTCCCCAACCACGATGCTCCAAGCCCCGCCTACCTGTGCCTTCCCAGTCTCTGGACTCCAGCCTCTGTCCTTTCACCGCACACTAATCTGGAATCTCTACCACTTCATCCTGCAAATGCTGAACAGCCGTAATCTGAAAACCCCAAATCCAAAATGCTCCAATCTGCAAGCATTTTGAGCCCTGACATGATGTCTGCCACAAGTAGAAAATTCTGGCCCTGACCTCATGTGACTGGCATGCCAAAAGTATTATGAGAAATATCCTGAAGCTAAGTGTCTTAGGCATCCATGAAACATGCTTAAATTCTGTGACATGGGCTCTGTCCCTAAGATCTCTTGCTATGTCTTAGTCACTTTCCAACTCACTAGGACAAAATGCCTGATGCCCGGAATTTAGAAGAGAAAAAGCTTATTTTGGCTCACACTTCACTCTGCTGGTTCCAAAGCAGGACACGTGGGGCCTAGTGGGCCGGAGTCTGAGGAGAGGAAGGGAAGAGCCGAAGGGAGATACACCTGTCAGCTCACATTGTGATGCCTGCCTCTTCCCACCAACCCCACTTCCTACAGCAAATCAGCTATGATGCCCCTATAATCCAGTCACCCACCCAAGGTCCTGCCTAGGAGTACATGCATCTTTAAGGGAGCATCTAGATGTAAATCCATGCAGCTATCCTGAAATATGAAAAAAAAAAACCTAAAACCCTTCTGTCCCAAGCATTGTAGAAAAGGGATGCTCAGCCTGGACCATCTCCAGGAGCTTCCTGTGTCTTCCCCATCCATCCCTTCCCACTGCTTCAGGTCTGGCTGCAGATCAGACCAGAGGGGGTAGGAGCAGCACCCCCCACCCTGTGCACACAATGGATTTGTACGAGGCACCAGGGCCTAGGGATCAAGACCTATAACTTCCTGCCTATCTAAGACTAGAAGATGCTTAAGTGTGGTCTTAACATGCTCACTTTTATTCAAGGCTACTATTGTTCTTTTACTCTTTCCCATATCCCAGAATGGGTCCATATCAGGAAGTCGCCTCTTGGGGGTGATGGTGACTTTGAGATTAGACTGGATGAGGGGGAAGGTGCTGGCCATAGCTCACCTGCAGGTGACTCAGTAAAGACTACAAGCACACAGGCAATGCTAACTGCTGATTCTGAGAGTCCAAGTGTTTTCTGTATGTTTCTTTCAGATCATCTGTATGTGTGAAATTTTCTATAGTAAAACTTTGAAGAATAAATATCTACAGAAAAGAAAATACAGACATGAAAAGTGTTTAAATCAATGTCCTACCTAAGATAAAATTTCAAGATCATATCATATATAACACCAGTGTTATGGTTTATAACTAGATGTCCCCGCAAAGCCTCTTGTGCTCACAAGTGGGGCTTTGGGGAGTGGCTGGATCATGGGCGTATGATACTGGATTAATCCATTGATTGGTTTAGCCTGGTTCTGGGTATGGATGATGAATTTACTAAAGAGGGAAGGCCCACCTTGCATGTAGGTGGCACCAACCAAATAGGCTTGTAGCCTGGGTAGAATATGAAGGAATAGGGAGGCTCACTGCTTCCTGCCTTCTGCCTGCTCTACCATGGACTGTTTCTCCTCTGTAATGCCCCTCTGCTGTGCTGTCCTACTTTAGCACCAGCTGACTATAGATGAAACCTCTAAAATCTGTAAGCCAAAATAACCTTTCCTCCTTTAACTTTGAATGTCAGGTATTTTGTCCCAGCAATGAGAAAATAACTAAGACACCAGGCCCATGCATTTTTTAAAGAGTGATGTACTACCCACATTGGTTTATGATTGATTTCTGGAATATCATTTTCAATACCTCATGGCGTTTTGTCATAGTGAACTCCTTTCTGATCATCCATTGTGATTCTTTTTCCCCTAAAATTGAGCTAAGAAGAAAGAATATGGCAACAGTGGTGGTTGGGCCCCTTTGATATCAGGATCTGATGATACGTCTACTGCACAGCAAATGTCTCCCAAGTAGTTGGTGTTAAAATCATTGATGTTTGGAGGAACAGCCAGCGTGGAAAGAAGCTAAGGCAATTGGACTTCAGTTCCAGCCTTGGGATGACTGTTGTTCTGTGATTGTCAAGTGTGCCCCATGGGCCACCAGGAGCATCACCTGGACACAGGAGAGTTGTGGTCTCAGCTCACCCAGGCCTGCCAGGCAGGCACCACAGACCCCCAGGGTCCTGGAGCACCAATCACTTCCACTTCTCCAGATGGAACCTCCCTCCCAAGCATGAGCGTTCCACCTTGATTGAGCACCGTGGTGTGGATCTCTTACCTCAGCTTTTCCTTGGAACAGATCGAAGAATACCACCCCCATTCCCACTGGTCACTCTCCCTGAACACGCAGAGTGGGGCTTGCCAAGTCTTTCCTCCAGCAGGGACTGGGAGAGCAGGCAGAACCAGCAACTTAGCAGCACTTTCAGTGCTTGGTGCAGGGTATAGGTGTGTTCAGCAAGCCACCTGGAGGGAGTGTGTGACCCCCAGGCCAGTGGAGAGGTGAAGGATGCCCCGTGGACAGGCACCTCACAAAGTCCCCATGCTGGAAGGTGTCTCTGCAGCGCCCCCATCAGGCAGACCAAGGCCCAATGAGCTACTGTGCTTGTGACACCCTGCCCTGTGGTCAGCTTCCCGCCTCAGGGTGGCCAGGGACAGAGAAGCCAGACAAGTGTGTTTTGCGGCTGTGGAGTCCCCTGCAAGGCACCCAGGACATGGCCTGGCAGAGAGAAAAGGTTGGTGGGAAGGAGGAATCCCATCAATCCCCAGGTGGCTGTAGTCACCACAGTACCTTCTCCAGAACAGGGTTGTGTTCACACAAGACCAAACAAGGGGTGAGAGGTAGGGAAGGGGGACAGTGGAATAGGGGTGCTGGGAACAGAGGTGTGGCTGTCTCCCACATTTACTTGTCCAGTGCAAGTTGAGAAGTATCTACCTTCTTAAAATCTCTTGAACCCTGTGCACGAGTAAAGACACGTCAGGGTGACTTCCTGTGTCTTCTCTTTCTGCATCATCTCGTAACAGTGCCTGGGACAGTTGTCCACTCTCACTAAAGATTCTTTCATTGAGTCAGGGAAAGAAGAGACAGCAGTACCCTTTCTCTAAACTCAGGGCTTAATATCTTCGTGGAGTTTGCTGACCTCACGGAATCCATGAATCTCCAGGGTGCCCAGGAGTTTATCCCACACCCAGCAATGCCAGTCCTTGAGGCAGAGTACTAGAGCAGTCCTGGCCACTCCCTGAGGTGGAGCCCTTCTGCTCCTATCCCCAGCTGCCCGGCTGACCTTTCCTATCCCCCACAGTTCTCGGGAAGATCCGGAGTGCCGTGGGGAGTGCCCAGCTGCTCATGTCCCAGAAGTTCCAGCAGTTCTATTGGCTCTGCCAGCAGAACATGGTGAGTCACCTGGCAGCTTCCTAGTGGGTGAAGCTCACCCTGCCCATGCTCAGGCTGCTCCTGGGCTAAAGCACTGCTCACCGCAGACAATGAGGGAGCTCATGAGAGAGGACGCAGCCCAGCCTTGGGTCCCCACAGCCCAGGTCCCAGGTGCACACACCCAGACCCTGGCTTCTGCTTGCAGCTAGCGCTAGGCTGCAAAGTGTGTGTTTGTTGCTGGTAGGGACCAGGAGTCCTGGCGGTGGCAAAGCCTGGTCTTTTCTGCGGGGTTTCTTCAGAAGACCTCAGGAGAAGCTGGGAAGTTAATCACTCCTGTGGCCAAGATCACTGACGAAGAAAATTATCTGAGGAGGCCATCGAATAGAGACGTACAGATGCACATGTGTAAAGAGGTAGAGACACCAGAAATGGCTCAGCTCTCGTGTTGCACAGTCAGGATGGAGATGAATACACTGTGAGCTAGATTTGTGAATGCACCTGGCCTTGCGCCTGGCTTCTCCTGACTGGCAAGGGGAGGAGCCACCCACAGGTGTCTGTGCTCACGTGTGCACGCTCATCCACAGACACCGACAGGTGTCACACACTCGTACACACACCTGTACATGCAGTATGCTCTTCTTTCTCACTGCGGGAAGCATCTATGTAATTCTGTGCACCCCAGCTATGTGGTGTCCGTGCCCTGATTTTTCAAACCCAGCTTTCCAGTGGATGCAGACTTCTCTCTGTAGCCCGTGCAGGGGCGCAGAAGGTGCTCCACCTGCTTCTGTCTGCATCTTGCAGAGATGCTGAGCACACATGACAGCCTTGTGCACCAGCCAGGCACAGGTGCCCCAGAGCAGCACTGCTCCCTTCGTGAGGGTGTCGGAAACGTACTTTCTGCAGTGCTTTCCTCTCTTCTCTTTGGCCACTAGTCAGCACCAGATGTAGAGTGCCAACTTGTCACCTTGGGCGTAAAGCTTACTGACGTTTAGAAGGGGGCCAGCCAGACGGGCGCCATGGCTCAGTGGCAGAGCATTTGCCTAGTGTATGCCTGGCCCTGGGAATGGGTTCAGTTCCCAGCACCAAATGGCATCGGGATGTTTTTGCGACCTCAGAAAAACAGGCAGTGGATAAATGTTTGGTTGCCACACTTGCTGTCCATGCTCCTGAGTCCCCTCCCCACCAGGTGCTCAGGGTCGTGACAGTCACCTTGGCGGTGCAGTCGGGACATGTGGTGCTGAGCCCTGGACAGTGCTCATCTCCTGGCCCAGAGCAGCTGCTGTGGGGCTTGGAATGATTCCTCCTCCTAATATCGTGGATGCCTCTGATCTGCCTTGGCGGCTTCCTTTCCTTTCCATTTTTACTCAGTGTTAGTACAAATGAGCCCTGAGACTCTTGGGAGGTGGGAGGTCTGAGCCAGCCTGGCAGCAGAGACCTGCCACAGACAGACATGAGAGCTTTGTCACGCGTGGTCCCCAGCTGTAGGAACATAGCTGGGGGCTGGAAGTGTGAGGCAAGGAACAGTCCTAGAAGATGCAGACCGGGTCCTGAGGGTGAAGCTCGCAGGCAGGCATTCTCCAGATGAGGCTGGGTGGGGCCCTCACTGGGTGACCACAGTGCCATGTTCCCAGGAGTCCCCTGCTCTGAGCATCTTGTGCATATGAGAGAGCGGAACAGCGCTGCCCACTCTTAAACCTCCATCAGGACAGCAGCTGGCGAGATTTCCCCTGTTCTGTGGGCTCTTTACTCCACTGCTTCCTTGTGGTGCAGAAGCTTTTCGGTTTGGTGCAGTCCCAGTTGTGGACTCTTGCTGTTACTGTCACCAGGGTCCTATTCCGGAAGTCCTTGCCTGTGCCTCTGGCTTCAAATGTTTCCCCTGTGTTGACTTCCACCCTTTCCAAAGTCGGCTCTCTAGCTAGGTCTTTGATCCATTTGATGTGATCTCGGCACAGGCTGACAGAGATACCTTAGTCCAGTGTGTGGAGGTCCATGCTGCAGCGCTGCTGGTTAGAGGCTGCCTCTGCCCAGCCTTGCCTTTGGCCTGTCTTCTCATGCAAATACTTGGTGAGGCCGCCCCCTAGGGGTCCAGAGGAGAACAGGCTCAGCTCCACCAGGAGGAAGCTGCTCTAGCTCTCTCCCTTTGGTGAGGGAAAGAGGGCACTTAGTACCTGGTGCGCTCTGCCCCCTGACCGCTGCTTGCAGTGTGTACTGCCACAGGCTGCACAAAGAGCAGAGGATGGTGCCAAGTGGGTCACTGGGACGTGGACTTTATGCCGGGTTAAAGGAAGCCTAAGCCAACCAAACAAGTTCATGGCCGAGCCCCTCCCCACCCTGCTTAAGTGAGCTGCCGAGCATTTAGATCCTGATCTTTGCCACCAGCCCTGCATTTCCAACGAGGAACGTGGGAAGGTTGTGCTACATGGGGAAGACTGCCGGCAGACACAAGTGCTGAGGAAAACTTTCGTCCCCTGCCGAGGACCCTTCCCAAACCCTACACCAGCATTTGAAGGGCCCGGCTTCCCATGCTGGTGGACTCTTAAAGCCCTCTGTCTCTGCAGGACCCCGGCGCCATGCCCAGGCCAACGTCCCAGGACCTGGCAGGCTACTGGGACATGCTGCAGCTCTCCGTGGAGGATGTCAGCATGAAGTTTGACGAGCTGCACCAGCTGAAGCTCAGTGACTGGAGGGTCATGGAGTCTCCCGAGCGGAAGGTGAGTGTGCCCTGTGCCAGTTGCGAGTGCAGTCAGTGCCCGCGATGTGCAGCCCGCCTGCGCTCCTGGTTCCACAAGATCCGCTTCTCCCAGCCCTCGGTGGGCAGCACAGGACCTGCTTCCGCCTAACCACATGTGCCCATGTGCACGCACGTGTGTACCACAGAGTGAAGCTGGGGATGTGTCAGAGCAGCAGCTTCTTGCACACAGACACTCAGAGCACGCCCGAGAGCACGTGTGGCTGGCCTCGTCCCTCTGAGGAGGGTGTTCTGAGTAACTTGAGCCGGCCTTCATCTGGGCTGCATCACCATGCTCTCCCGGGAGAACACCAGCTCTGCTGCAGGGATGGTTTCCCACCCACCTGTGCCTTCAACCACAGGTCTGCAGTGAAGGATGAAACATGAGAAGCCCACGAACGCTCTGAGGGTGTGGTCTCTCTGTCAGCCTCGGCCAGTAAAATAGGCTGAATGGTGGCATTAGACCTGAGTTAGGTCGTCCACGGCAGCAGTACCCGCAGTGGAGCTGCCAGGGCTGCGTCAGCCTGCACGCAGTGACACCATGTGCTTCAGAGCGGCAGTCACGACCTGCACTCTCTAGGTGGACATTTGCCACTGAAACACTTACCAAGAAAGTCAATCCAGCACACCTTTGAGAGGTGGTGTTTAATATACAGGTGAGGACACACAACTGGGTCATTAGGGAAAAGCCTGAGGAGAACTGGGCATGGCCTATATAGCTGTAATCCCAGCATGTGGGAGGCCGAGGCAGGAGGACTGCTGTGAGTCTGAGGCAAACCTGGGCTACACAGCAAAAACACAAAACAAAGCCAGCGTAGGTTATCCTGCTTTGCACCTCCTTGAAAGGTCCCATTGGCCACCTAGTGGAGTTCCAGGCCAGAGGCCACAGGTGCCATACGGGACACCCCTCCTGCCTCTGACCCCAGGGACAGAGCAGAAGGCACCGGTTCCTGGAAGCCTCCTGGGGCTGTAAGCAGGTGCTCGTGCTTTGTCGCTTGGTTGTGCGGTGAAGGAGATGCTCAGTGCTGATCCCAGCACGAGGTTACCCTGAGGGGACACAGCATGCTTCTGTCCCAGATGCACACAGCAGCACTCACCTTACCTCTCCTGACACAAGCAGAGAGGGTCCAGGGTACATGGGCCTCGTGAAGGACAGCACCCTGCACAGAGTAGTGGCCTCCGACAGCCCCATCCCTCATGACAGAGGCTTCGGGCTCCACACAGATGCCCAGCTTGTCCCTTTGGCCATGCTCCCTGTGGGCAACCCTCACAGCCCCAGGGTCAAAAGGCTTCAGAGCAGAGAGGGAAGGAACCGGGATGGGGGGGTGTGGGGGGTCACCGTGTGCCGAGAGCAGGCATTGTATACTCTTAGGTTCACTTGCAACACGCCAGGAAGGTGGGAATGACTCACTGCTGCTGGCCTAGGTCTTGGTGACAGGCGCTGCAGGGCACAGTCCCAGACACCAAGACAGCTGCTCACCCTGTCCAGAGCCCTGGGGGCCAGGCCTCGGGTTGGAGCATGGGAGGGGCTCCTGGGGCCCTCCATCCTGTGCCTTTCCAGGGAAGGAAACCTTTGCAGGAGAGAACTCCTGGCTGAGGGGTAGCACAGTGATGCCAACCTGTCACTAAACAGCTGCACAATTTCTCTATTGCACTTGTGGAGATTTGTCTTTCTGAAAAAGGCATTCCCGTATTTTGGTGACAGTTATTTAAGAGCATAAACTGAGAGTCAGAAATAATTATTTGTATCCTTTTATCCAAAAACATTATTGAGATCAGTGAGGTTTTAGGTTATGAAACAGGAATTTGGCTGATGGTTCCCAAGATGCCTGCCCGCATAGCCTGGTTTTCATGAGCCTCATGAAACCCTGGTCCAGCTGGTGACCATGGCATTGTGCGACAGTGTCCACGGGCTCTGTAAGGTATACACCAGTATCAGGCAGGAAGCATGGGACGAGGTGGAGCCTGCCTTAAAGCTGTAGAGGTGAGGCCGCATCTGGCACCACGTGCAGATATGTCTCCTGACCAGAGGCCCTGCCCCAGAGCCTCTGCCTCCTCTGGGGAATTTGAAAAGACACGGATCACTCTGTCGCAGCCCAGGGTCAGTCCAAGCCACACAGGAGGAGCGGCCAGGCCCCGGGCCTTTGGCAGGCTCAGTACCCTCTGACCACTTCCCATCTGTGACCCTTTTCAGGAGGAAAGAAAGGTCCCCCCTCCAATACCAAAGAAGCCCCCCAAGGGGAAATTTCCCATCACGAGAGAGAAGTCTCTGGATCTGCCAGACCGCCAGCGCCAGGAAGCCCGGAGACGGCTCCTGGCCGCCAAGCGTGCGGCCTCCTTCCGCCAGAACTCCGCCACGGAGCGGGCCGACAGCATCGAGATCTACATCCCTGAGGCCCAGACCCGGCTCTGAGGACGGACGCATGGACGGACGCATGGACGGACGCAGCGACACTCGCCTGCTTGTGTTCTTTTTAACAAAACGCTGTACAGTTCATTGCCTACCTGGTGATTTTTGTCTCATTTCTTTCACCGAATCGCCCTTGCTGTTACGTTCTTCATACCATAAACACAGTGGGATGCTTTCCACTTCCTCGTGTGCCAGCAAGTATGACCTCCTCCAACGATGGCCTCCAATGATGGCCGACTCTCAAAGCCCTGAGGGACAGGCGTGGTGACGGCCAGCACCCCTCTTTGTCCCCCACAGACACAGATGCGCCTCTGGAGACAAACCCACCGACATTTTGTGATTTCTATTTTTATACATTGTGTGATATTAGAGGTAAGAATAACATATAGCTGCATATGGGTGCATCTCACCACTCCGAGAGGCATCAGACACCCCAAGTGGCCGGTGCTACACCCCAAAGGGCAGAAAAGAGACCCGACCCCACTAGCCGGCGTCCCCCTCCCGAGCCCCGCTGTCCTGGTCCTTGCTGTCACAGGCAGTAGTGCTGGGCCCTCGCTGTGGAGCGCGTGTCACGGAGAGGGATCCCTGGGCCCCAGGATCTCACCCTGAGGTTCTTCAGGTCCCAGAGCTCCAAGTCGAGCCCCCTCCAGAACCCCACACCCTCACACCAGGGACGAGCTCCACGTCCTGAGGGAGGGATGCGTGGGAGGGGACGGAGCCCCAGAAAGCTGGGCGCAGGCGGGAAAGAATTGCCCACTTCTCTGAAACAGCCATTGTAGTTTTTATTCCTTTGTGACTTAAGGCATTCACAGAGCATTTTATTTCAGTTTCAACACCGAAGCTCCGTGTGATTTATATAAATGTGTCTGTATGTATATGTATATACACATACATACACACACATTTCAAACCGCTCTATCATTGACTTTCCAGGGTATCTTTAAAAAAGAGTTCGCTTGTATAAAACGACAGTTGTGATGTTGTCAGAAGTATAAGAATGTGAATGTAAGCGGTAAGTATATCTCAGTCTAAATGGTGAAGAGAGATGCAGTTTACACTTGTATTTTTCCAGAGTTATCTTGTCCTGTGCAGCACTGCTGACGTCAAGAGCGTATTTCCTGCCCGTGTTAGGCGGAGCGGAAAGGCGGCACGTGGTGGGATTTGCCAGGGTAACAGCCGGGCGACTGGCCCCGGGCAGGCAGCCTCGGGCCTCAGGGTCTGCACTCGAGGCATAGGCGGGATTCTTCACCCAATACCAGGTCTTCCTTCCCGCCGCTTCGAGGAGCACCTCGTGCCCAGCCATAGGCAGAAAGCTTCCCCAGCCCTGTAGCACTTGTTTTCTCTCCGTGAGTCGCACTTTAAGGCGTGCGCAGCGCTCGGCAAGGGCGCCCGGGCTGCGCGCGCCCCCCTCATAGTCCACACTCCACCGCGCATGGGGTTCGCTGGGGCACAGTGGGTGTCACCGCATGTCAAGCTTCACGGTTCTACTTTTTCAGAGCTCAGTAGTTAAGAATTCCCCGTAAGAACAAAACCCTGTAAATTGAGCCTCAGATCTGGTATATATTTTACCAAACAGCCTTAAAATATATTTGGAAGCAAAAATCAGTACGAATGTATATCCTTGAAAAATGCAAAAAAAAAATCCCTGAAATATTCTTCTATAACTGAATCCTATTTCCCCAGAGTGTTCAAAGCATTTTTCTACCTAAATAAATACCTAAACCCTGAATAGCGTACCATAATGATGCTTCTTCCTATCTTCACTACACTATGTAAAAGCAGGTGTCCTCGTAAGTCTCGGCATTTGAGACTTTAAAAGTGACGTGTTACTTAAGAGGAACTACTGTTTAGAAGAACCACAGGCAAGCAGAACCCGCGTATGCTCCTAATGAAGGAATTTGAACACACGTGTGCACATCACCTGCCCCTGTCCCGGCCCCTCCTGGCAGCTGCTGGGTTGTGTCTTATTCCTGGAACTTACACAGAACACACAGAAGCAAATTGCCAAATTAGATGATAATGATCCGTCTTAGGTTCTGGACCTATGGTCCCAGCTTGAACCAAATATTCCCTGGATTTGGACTGATTTTTGTTTTTTTCCACTCACTTTTATCTGACAATCCCCCAGAAGTCCTGGCCTCCACCATCCGTCCCTAGGTGAGCACAGTGGCCCCACCAAATATGGAGGATGTGCCCAGTGGGCCCACTAGTTTCCAAAGGTGTGCACACCCTGGCCGAGCAGGTGCCTGCTGCTAGTGATGATTCTGCTCATGTCCCTGCCCAGGGCAACACCTGCAGTTCTGTGCAGGCGACGTGCTGTCATGGAATGGGAAGCTAAGCCGTGTTTCTGTGTCATTCCTGCAAGAAAGTGAAACTGTTTGCAGCACTGTGGGGCTGAGGCCTCTCGGTGGGTTTTGTCAGTCATTTCCAGAAGGTGTGAGGCCTAGCGCTCTGGCATGGTCCTCGCATCACACTTAAAATACACTTTGAATAAAAGACTGTTGCAAATGTGCAACACAGGGTGCCAGCCACATAGAGGTGAAAGCTGATGTTCCCTGCAGCTGCTCACCAGGGTCCCTCGAGGTGCAGCCAGCACCAGGGAGATGCCCTCACACCAGCAGGCCCACCTTGCTTGCCGGTTATTTAGCCGCCTCTCAGAAACAAACAAAACTAAGTCTGAGGACCAGGACCCAGAGCAGAGGCGGCGTGTAGCAAGTGTCCCCAGTGTAACCCACCCAGCGTCTCCACTACTCACTGTCTATCCATCTGTTCTGATGTTACCAGTAAAGACTGTTACCGTGTTTTCCTCCACAAGTTTTTATCTCCATCCTAGAATGCTGTACAAAGCACTGAACTGTTGTATACCAAAAAATTACATTTTTGTTTAAAAGAAAGTGTTGTCCATGTTTTCAACTCCAAATCAATCCTGAAGACTTCCAGCATTTACTGGAAAGGTAAATTGTTAGAAAAATACAAATCACATTAAAGGTTGCCTCTTTAAAAAAAAAAAGCCACAAAATCAGTAGCCACAACGTAGAGGGGATCACTCCCTGCTTGGCCTCATGGCCGTGGCCAGATTCACAAGCAGAAGACAGTTGTGAGTCAGGGATTTAGCTCAGTGGCACCACGCCTGCCTCACAAGCACAAGGTCCCAAGTTCGATCCCTGCTACAAAAAAAAAGACAGCTTCAGGTCACACACGTGCATGCTTTCTGTCGTCTCTGGGCATGTGCGTCCCCACTGGCCAGATCTTGGCTTCGCCACTAGAAGATGCTGTACCTTACATTTACTGTCTCCGGGGACCCAGCCACCCCACACAGGATGCTTTTCAGGGCAGAGAACAGCAGGGTTATAGATGCACAGTCCAGCTCCCCAGTGTGCTCTTGGAGAAAGGCTGTAGGACGAGGGCCAAGTGTTGGGACCCAGCGGGGAGCAGGGGAGATGCATGCCAGTCTGCTGGGCCTTTGATACTGATGGTGACAATCTGAACCAGTCCAGCCCTTTGCAGCCTTCCAGGGCATCGAGCAAGCAGGAGCCAGCGGGGCTTGCAGGGAGACCCGAGTCAGGTTGGAGCTGTGCTCGGCCTTGTTAGAGATCTGACGGGGCCCCCAGGGAGCCCCAAGGGACAGAAGCTGCTGCGTGCACATCTGACGGGCTGAGGCTGGCCCCAGTCTAAAGCAGCACGGCCAGTGGACCAGAGGGGACCCCAGGAATCTAAAGAGAGAGGCCCAGGGGCCAGGAGAGGTTGTGTCTGGCAGGAACCCAAATGTGTTGCCAGAAGCAGCACTGAGGGTGGGAGGGCAGCAGGTGCCCTCTGTCCGGAACGGGACCACGGGCTCCCCAAATGGGAACGGCTACGAGACCTGCTCTTCCCTCTGTGCACTCCCCCCTCTGCTCTCCAGCCTTGGGCTTGTTTCCTTCTGCGAATTGAACACCCCGGTGAGGTTGTCTGACCTCAGGAGCAGCGTGTACACTCCTCCAGTCGTCAACCATACTTCCTCGGAACTGTCTGAGGGCTCTTGTGTTTTTATATGAGTATTTGTCTCTACTTCTTGGTAGGTTTGGAGCAAACACAGGGTTCTGAAAGCTTGAAAATCAAATAGAAAATTGTGAGCTTAAGAGGTCAACAGTGTCATCTGTTACTGGTTAGTAAGTAGAGCAAGGAAACCCACTGCATCTCACTTGCTGCACCCCTCAGACACTGCGTGGCTCATGTGGACCCCTGGGCCATGGTTCAGAGGGGCCAGGCCACCGGCCACCCCTGGTGAGTACCCACCCTGTGGGGTACAGCCAGTGTCCAGGCAGAACACACACATCACCAAGAAGGCCAGGCCGGCGGGGGCGTCATGGGACTCATGCTTGGGGTCCTGCTGTGGAGGGCTGAGAGCAAGCTCGGGTGCAGCCTGGGGATGCAGCAGTGTTGGGGAGGGGCCTTCCTGCTGGCTCTCATCTCAAGTTTTGGAGGATTCCGAGAACCATTTCCAAGTGCCAGCCCGAGTGGGCAGTTGTTCCCCACCATGCAAACCCAACTGCCTCTTCGACGAGAGGAGATGTTAAATGTAGGGAACGGGGAGAGGGGACGTTGCTAGGACCTCTGCAGTGAGTCCTCGTCTCCTGCAAGCCACGACAGCACAAGGAGAGTGAATTAGACAGAAAAGATAGAAAACTGAGACTCAGGGAAGAAGCTGAGCTTTGGGTCTGATCAGTGCTGCTCTGGGCAGCAAAGACCCCAAGCTTGCCACAGTTTTATTTGGGGCATGGGGAGTAACGAATGTAACGGGTGATTTAGAGGGCAGCAGGACCTAATCCAGGAACTGAGGGACTGTGTGCCCCTCCCGGATGTGTTCAGCTGGTGTAGTCCTGCCCTGCAGCATCACAGAATCACTGAATCGTGGAGGTTTTAGCTGTGACCAGAGGCGAAGATGGAGTCAGGTCTCGACATGCCATACCGGCCTGAAGGCAGGAAACTAGGCCTAACCGTAATTTAATTATGAAATGATTTTTCCCCAAAATCATATAGAACTGCTCCTGACAGCTAAACCGGCAATAAGGTCACGGAGGGAGCTCCTGGCCCGGGAGCAGAAGGATGAGGTTGGGGGTCATGGTGGACCCAGCTGCCCCAGCTCCCAGCACCTACCCAGCCTGTAACACTTGGGCACGGAGGTGGCTTTCTTCGGCCCCACCCCATGACCAGGGCCACAGCTCCATCACCTGCTGCCCCAGATCCAGTGGCTCTATCCAGCACTTGTTTCATGTTCCAGTTTGAACCCTTGGCAGACGACTTCTCTGCAGAAGAAGTGTTAGTTACTTGCTGTGAAAGTACTTTTTAAAAGATTCCCTAAGTGCTCAAGCCAAGGAGGCAGAGGGTTCCTTCCCTCCCGCTTAGATCTTAGGGACTCTGTGTCCTCGTGCTCATGTGGATGCAGGGGATGCGGCTCAAGTCTGTAGATGTGGTGACGGAGGCTGAGGCTGGCTGTGAACTCTTGGCGAGGCTCAGCTGGCCTCTGCTGTGCCCTGATTCTCTCCAACTGGCACTGCGACCCAGTGCTCTCACTTCCATGGTCACCACTTTCAGAGGGCTTGGATGGACAGCCCCCTCGCCCCTTTCTAGCTGGTCTGTGGAGTTGCCCCTCACCAGCAGTCAGGCCTGGGATACTTTTGACCTCACATTTCCAGCCAGGGAGCCACTTGCTGTAGAGATTCGTCCCCCTACACACCCACTCCCTGCCACACACCGGTGGGGCCTGAGGATGAAGTTAAATCCCCGGACAGAAATTCAGGGAATGCTCTACACAGGCATCAGCTGCAGTCACGGTTCAGCACAGAGGCATTTAAATACATAGATAAATCAGTATACACACAACGCATATCGGCCACTGGGACAGAGCGCCAAATATCCCCGTCTCTGCAGAAGCACATTTCACAGAATAAAACCACTTTGTGGGACTCTTTCTCGTGCTTTTATGGCTCTTTTAATAAATTCCCCCTAGTGGCGTGCAGGGTGCCTATTGGGACTCCAGTGCGGTCTTCATCTCAGTCGGCTCTTTGTCTTGTTAACAACTTCTCATCAGAATGCCAGTCGTTATTTTAAGGCATTTCAGGTGTTTGTTTTTTAGTTTTCTTCCTCGTGGGTTTTTTCTATTCTCGGTTATTGCAAGGAAAATGCTTTCCACTCCCTTCATCTCTTCTATAGTTATCCTCTTTCACTTAATTTCTGGACTGCTGATATCCAGGCCCTGTAAACAGTTCTACAATTCAAATTCTTAGAGAAAAATAATATTTACTTTTTGTTGGAGTGAGTTCTCATATTATTTTAAACGCAGAGAAATTATGTAGACCAAAGAATTTTACCAAGAAAACATTTTTCTTTTCCTCCACTCCACTTTTCGATGATAAAGTAGCCTTGCTTTCTCTGTTAAGAAGAAATGGGCACACCTGAAGGCCACGAAGCCTGTGTGTGCACAGGTGGAAGTGAGTCCACATCCACGAGTTCCCCAGGGTTCTGCAAAGGCACCTGAGAGCCTGGGGCTGCAGGACGGCTGCTGCTGGCCGGGTGGCACTGGGGCCTCACCCAGAGGGAAGGGAGGCCCAGCTTGACTTCTTGTGCCAGGGAGCATCCCCCGAAGGGACCCGGGCTGGTGTTGGACTGAGTGGCCCCTCCCTCCACCGCTCCCTTCTCCTCGGTACCTGCCACCTTTCTTCTCTCGCCCGGCATCAGGGGCCAGCCTCTCACCAGCCCCAGGGGCCTCCTGCCTACTTGAATGCCCACCCTATCTACCACTTGCTCCCCTTTCCTGGGACATCACTGCAGCTGGCTCCTGCCTGAGGATGGCAGGGGTCCCCAGCAGCAGTACCACACAGAACAGGCCTCCTCACCTGTGCTCCCAGGGCACCTGGGCAGGGAGACAGCAGGTGACCGTGCAGATGGTGAGGCCGCTCCCTAAGGCGCCCTGCCAGACTCACTGGGCTGGCTGGGGTTCCTGCAGGTGCTGGTTCAGGGCACAGAGCCCAGCATGGAGGACCACAGGGACTGGACTCTTCACTATTGCAGCCATGATCTTTTTGTGTCCAGCAGAATAAGAAATAATTAATTGAGAGCATTGCATAATGTGTTCCTCTTTCACAGGTGGCGTTTCTTCCCATCGCACACTTATCACTAGCAAAAAAGAAAGCTATATGTATTTTTCCTTTTTTTTTTTCTTTTGGTATTGGGGATTGAACTCAGGACCTTGCGCTTGTGATGCAGGCAGCGGAACCACTGAGCTAAATCCTCGGCCCGTGTATTTTTCTTTTTTAATCTCACTTTCCTTTGGGAAGTTTTAACATATTTTGCAATTAACTGGAATTTTGTCCTTTGAGCTATATGCAGTTTGTTTTCTCAAAAGTCTATAAAAATGCAAAGAAATTAATGAGGTACTCATTTTTGTGTCATGACAAAATACCTTCACCTTTACAGAGCTTTCTTGGTAAAAGCCATGAGGCAGCTACATGAAGACTTCATGCAGTGTGTTCAGCACTGGAAGTCACCTTTCTGTCTTGAGGAAAATCACTCTGGGCTTAGCAGGAGCCTTTTTCCTGCCATACCCCAGGCCCTAGCTTCCACACCCAGCAGCACAGAGAACACACAAGTTACTAACCTCAGAAAGGAAAGGCCTTCCCCCCAATGCCATGGACATCACCAGGATAACTCAGGGTATTCCTGCTAACTCCCAGCCTACAAATTCACAACTCGGAAAGTACAATGCCGTGGGAGACACAATGCAACAAGACCCAGTTGGAAGAGCTGGGTTACCCAAGTGGGCTGTGTCTGGCACAGAAACTGAGTCAACTGACAGTCTTTTGAAACAGAAAGCAC